TCGTCCTTAACAGAGTATGAATGAGGTAGTATAGTAAGATATCTAAATTGTGAGACAAATTACCACGGTACAAAAGTTTAGTTAATAAAAGGAAACGATAAACTGTGGCAAGAATCTTTCTGCGAACCTGATCTGTAGCACTTGCGATGTCGCGCCCTTCTATAAAGTCCATGAAGTCATTAAAAGTACATACAGGACCTGCTAACAGCGTGCTGTGGTGAAACATATACCCAAAGTACTCTAGTAGTGAAGGGATGCGTCTGTCGAAACAAATGGACATATGCTTGTCTATGTACTATTGACGTGAACAGAAATAAAAAAAAAAGTTCTCGCATATGAGCTAATATTGAAGAAGTTACAGAAAAAGAAGCTTGGAAAAATCCAGGCTTTGACACCTGGCTGCACCTCATGTGCCACTGTGTTGTTCTCACCACGTTTTTATGTCATCTGTAATCTGTTGCTGAACAGACGCGCGGGAACATGCCATCTACTTGACAAATTTCTAAAAAACAGTTCTAGGAAAGCTTCATGCAATTTATAATCTATTGGGAAAAGCTCGGAATACTCACTGAATTCTCTGCTCTTTTTGATCCTTCGAAAGTTCAACTTCCCGTCTTCCAAGCCCTGCCGTTAAAAATGATTCTAACTCTCCACAGCGCATATCGAACGTTTTTTTAAAAATAATATATACACTCAGCGTTTAATTTTAAATCACCTAAGGTTTCATTAGAGTTTCTACCCATTGACTCAGTGGTGAGAACTCTACAGTGAATCTCAGCGAGCAAAATATTTTAAATGTTGATGTTAAAATACTCTAGGCTTCGGCGGAACGATTCACGTTGCCCTTTGGCACAAAATGCAAAGTTCTTGAGTATTTACACACATTCTGAATTCTACTGGACTATCCAAATTCATTATAGGAGACTTGAAAAATTACATAAAACTTGCATATAAAAGACACCGAAGGAATCGGTTTGCATCGGCTGGCAAACAGAAAGTGTTATGGTATGGTACTTTCTAGTGCGCGAGATATCTCCTCAGGTCGGCTCCAACTGTCTCGCGTGCAAAGCTGATCGTGGCGCAGGGCAACGAAAGCCAGCTCAACGGCCTGGTATTTTCCGCTCTTCTTGACAAGTCACATATGAAAACTGTTATCAAATGGACTTTTCTAGGGACTTTATGATCTTACCATCATGTAAGCTGAATGCCAAATATGTCACTTTTTGAAACATGATCATCAGGCGGCTGAAAGACCAATATGACTCTTTAAGTTCCTAAAATACTTATAAATGTTGCTAATTCAGCGAATTTGTGTCATAAAACTCGCGTCAGTCCCTCAAAACGACTTTGAAATTGTCAGTTACGTTTAGTTGGAGAGATCTGGAAACGTCTTGGTGATTCAAGAACGAGTTTCATCTCGTAACCAGGTCCCGCTGGAGTGGTTAGCCGTGAGAGATATGGATACACAACTAAATCAAGGCTAAACTAGTCCCAGACCTCTGGAGGAGGAAAGAAAGTATCACAGTACTCTGAAGTACTCTGAAGATTGGTCGATCACTGAACCTGACTAGCATCTAAGTTCTCCTTACAATGTCACCCTTGAATCAGACACCAAGGTTGCGAGAATAAAGGGAAAAAAACCAAAGAAGCTTTTCTTTATGAAACAAATTTTCCATATCAAGAACTTCAGGATATGTTTGCTGCACAGTATGATGACAGGGCGTAAAGGGTTAATCATTAAGATTTCGCCTTACCCGGAGTAGTCAAATCTATTGATTCCATAGTAAAGGATCATCCGGGCTATTTGTCCCACTGACAACCAGATCAAAGATACCACAATGACGACCCTGGACAGTGACAATAATATGATAACAAAAGTTGAATAATGAATAGTTTGAGGAAATAATGGCACATTACTTTCTCTTGTGAAAACGTAACATGACATACTGATGGATCTGACAGTACAGCGGTCACGAAGTCTATTCGAGTAAGGGTGATTTACCATTTTGTACGAGCTTTACCAAACATGCTGGGAGTTAGAACATCATGACTAGCTGGCTAACATGACCGTCTTTAACCTTGTGAGAAGTTCTAGATTGGGTTGTTATTTTGGCTGCCTCTCAGCCGTTTCAAAAGTCCGCTCATTTGACCGTCTTATTAGATCTGACGACATAATGGCTGTAGGGCAATCGGTGGGTACGTATTATGAGCCATTGAGACGCCAGTATAAGACGTTTCAACTGAAATAATATTGGATCAAGGATCAAAGTGCAGTTTTACTTACTTGTGGACTTTCTTTGGATTAACACTCACTGTGAACCCGTAACAGAGTGCACACACTAGAATCAGGATAATCATTTCGCTGAAAATAAAAGGAAAAATAGAAATCTCCCTGCTCACCTATCAAGTCAATGAAGAGACGAGATTTGTTAGCGCAATAGGACAATTTTCAATTGAACTTCGAAAGTAATACGGCTTGCCTCGCCACGGCTGTGATTGACATTCCGACCAATTCCTTCGCTCGAGCAGTGCAAGACTGTCACAGGCGATTTCCCGCGCTTTAGGTTGCTTGCTTGCGTTTACTCTGAGATCTAATTGACTGTTCAAGGTATTCCTTTTGTGTTAAAACTTGTTTTTATTACTTTGATTTGTTGTTATAACACGCAATTGCAATGCGCACTGTTGTGGCCGAAATATCCGACTCCTAAATGGCGTTAAAATCTGTTTGCAGTTCTTTGACTTTGTTTTTATAACACTCAATTGCAATGCGCTCTTTTCTGGCAGAAAATATCTGTCTACTATATGAAACCAACAAAGACAGCCAAAACACAAAGATGTCTTAATGCATATATTAAGTTAATTGAGATATTGTTCTAGAAATCTTTATAGTATGAATAGAAATTTCCTTGACATGAAATAAGGAAGCTAAGAAGTCGATTCAGGACACCCTGCTGAGAAAAAATTTTCCCATGTTTCTGACACTTCTTAACCTTGAGCACTAAAATAAGTCAAATGTAAATACTCAAATCATAGCCAATGACTACTCATGCAAAAACCAAGTGTAATATATGCATTAAGCGAAGCGGAAAGCTCAACTAAATTTTACGAAATGTTTCAGAATTAAAATCCTACCTTCCTAAACATATCCAGCCTAAAAAAAGGCCCCAAAGTATTGTCATTGCCAAGCGTGTATTTGCTGACACCCTTTTCGGATGTAATGTTGTGCGATATACGGATCCAAGCGGGAAACATAACAGCATGCAAAAGACGAACTGGATCTGCAGAGATGACAATATACATATCTAGCTCGTATAACATCGCCGTTGATTTAGAGAAAAGTTGTGGTTCACAAAGATTATAATACACTTTTTCTGAGTTCCTCGAGATGATAAACGTGATGGTTACACGGCAGGAAGTTTAAATCATTTGACCATACTTAAGCATATAAACATTACGACAAAGGGTGCACAATACTATAATTTTTTAAGATGGAATAGAGTTATAATTACGAAATAACTGTGTCTTTTTTCGCGTGTTGAACACTGGGTTTCTGCTTTTTATAAAGGAACAGTCGGTAAGCTGATTCAGTGAGACAGACAGGACGCGTTTAAATCTTGAATCTAGGACACATACACAGTAATCGATTGGCGAGGTAACTACAAAAATATACCTTACCTGCTCGACTGGCGTACTCAGCGCCTTGGCTACAAACAGCAGCGAATCTTGTATAAAAAAGATCATTCTGCTACTTACGAACTGTTTTCACGTTGTAAACAAATGAGCAATGAATCGGAGGCTTTCCGGCAAAATCTATCGTTGAATAAAACCTGCTGACGTTGTAACGCCACAGTGGTTTCTTTTTATTCTACTAATTTAATTTATTCAGAAGAGAAGAATTAAAAAAATGCCTTATTAATGTTTGCATGATCAGTGACCGATCGTTTTCAGAATTTGAACAAATTTTTGCGAATTGTCATGTAGCCAGTGAGAACTTTGTAGAAATTTGTGATGTAACACTTGCAGAACTTACTCCAACAATAAGACAAGCCGCTCTATTGATACAACTCAAATATTTAGTCGAACGACGTTGTTTAGATTTATCTTGAATACACATTGAGATCAGAAAGATGAATAGGTTAATTTCATACTCCAGTCAAGTGGCTAGTTGGGCTGCAACCTATTCCGATTTCCATAGCACTAAGAGTGAATTCTAAAAATTCTGGGACATTAGCATATGTCTGGAGGTTTTCGATTACAAAGGACGGGCAAAGGAGCGAGAGTCTGACGAAGGAGGGGGGAGGGGAGAGGCGAGGGAATCTGTCATTCTCTCTCCCTAGGTCCCAACCCTCTTTTTTCGCCTGCAACCACTCTTCTCAGGCCACTGCTGAGGGATAACAATACGCTCAATTGACGGTGGTGAACAATTTCCTCAACTACGGTATACGCACTTTCTCTCTTTTTTTAAAGACATGTACACCGATCATTTGCGCAGAAAAGGTGTATTTAGATGGCACTATGAAGTTGGTGATGAACTATATACTTTCCTTAAAAATGAAAAAAAGAAAAAAAAACTCGTCCTACGCTGTCTCATGCTGACGGTGCTTATCTTGAGGTTTGCCAATGAAGAGTTGGGGATGGTACTTATTTATAAAGGGTGTAAGTTTCTAAACAAACTGTGGTGCTGCGTCGGTGGGAGAGTATAGCGAGGTAATTTGGTGTTATCAACTAAGTTGATAACGTGAATTGGCCACCGTTAAGAGTTTAAAGGCTGCCATCTGAGCGTTGGCTCTTCGTCAGAGCAATTGACGAAGTGCTAACGCTCGAAGCGTCAGCCTTTAAACTCTTAACGGTGGCCAATTTACGTTATCAACTCGGTTGATAACACCAAATTACCATGGCACCTAGTTAGACTCCTGGGAGGCAGGGGGAGGTCAAAAGTACTGCGAGGGACCGATGCGTCGCGCAAAAAAATTGAATGACATCTCTTTTTTTTTCCACACAATTTTAATGCTAAACGTGAACCTGCCATTTGAGTTAGTTAAGTGCTTTTAGTTATTAATTTTCAAACCCCGAAGTATTTAAGTTTCCAGTTTTCAAAAGATCACGCGGCAGACCTGAGGAATCTCTAATGTCATTTGATTTGTTCAACACAAGCGTAACTGAATTTATTTTTCAGGTAATTTGGAAAAAATTGAGAGTGAATATTAAACGTCACAGTAGAAAACATATATCATGGTTCATTTATGCTACAAGATAAATCCTAAAAAAAGATTTAAAAAAAGAAGATTCATCTCACCCCGATTTTGATGTTGGGAAAGAAATTTGGTCGTGTTTTGAGCGAAAATTGCAAATGTCAAAGGTCATCGCTCTACAACCCTCTTGGAGGAGAATTTAAATTTTACGAGCTCTAAAACAAAACTGTATAAATTAGAGTTTGCTCTAGTAAGAATTTAATTTCATATGACAATAATAATAATAATAATAATTTCTTTCTATAAATGACTTGTTTCTCGTGTTCGTCAAGTAAATCTTTCTAGATGCGTAATTCAATCTTTTAAAATCTGCTCAGACTGCTTCGGCTGGTTTCCAGTTGTCAAGGCGGAAACGCTGGAATGGCGCGCGGCCTGGCTTCATAGGGACACACGGATTCCCACGCAAATTTGTGCTTGTGATATCATAGATAGATGGGTTTTCTTCGTAAGGCCTTCGTTCTGCCCATCAGTCCATCTTTCATACGAGTGAATGAAGAAGTACTGGACTTCGGCCGATCACTCGACGAAGACGCCCGAAGCTTTTCAGTCGACTGACTCCGAAGTCTGTCCAATGAAAATGGTCCTCTCGAAGATTGCTTCGGCTTCTCTTCGGAAACCGAATTTTCAGTCCAATTATACGATGAGCGAGATCGTAATTTATCGGCAGGAAGAGGCCGCTTCAATTCGCCAGCGGAGGAACCTTTAACTTTATGAACAGTAAAAGGTACTTTAGGTTTGTCTTCGTTGAACGAATCATCCGTCTTTTCGGTGTGTGAGTGAAGCTTCTTAGAAGTTACGCTCTTCACCTTTTCCACGTGAAACGGTCCTTGAGTGCGGTTTTTAGCTTCACCGGACAGTGCATCCTTTTTATTTCCACCGTCATTATTTTTACCATCAAACGCATTGAATGTACGATTGTTATTGTTGTTGTTGTTGTTGTTTACTTTGTAATCCTCACCATCTCCCTCTTCAATCCGCCTCATTCGTGTATGAAATTCAAACGGTCGGGACAGTGTCTTGGAACTGTCTTGAGAAAAACGTCCTAACCTCTTCTTTTTCTCGCTCTTCTCGAATGAAGGAGTCCTTTTTACAAATGAAGGCACTTTCAAATTTCCAGAATCTTTCACTTTTTCACGACTTCGAATAAAACTTGACACTGACTTCTGTACAACTTCTCTGGCCTGCTTATTGTCTTCTGATGTAGTAACTTCATGAAAAGCGCAATTCAGTTCCATCGACAGACTTTTCCCCTCTTCATATTTAACTCGCCGAAAATGTTCAAGATCACACTTGTTGGCCACGATTGCTATGGCAACAGAATCTGCGGTACTGTCCTTTATGAAACGAGCAATGCGCTTTGCTTCTTCAAAACTGGAACGATCGGTGATGGAATACAAAATGATGAAAATGTCGCCTTGACGAGAAATGAGAGTTAGCTTCTCAGCCGTGTTCTGAAAGCAGAAAAGCACAGGGTTAGCTTCACAAAAACTTACTGTCGTAACTTGCATTGCTATTATAAAGCTTTTCATTTTTGCCCTTTTCGCTGACTCGAGTTGCCCAGATTTCCGACGTTTTGTCGAGTTCAGTCTTCGAACCTCGTTTGAGAGAGAAGCGTGGGCTCATTTTCTGACCGGCGGCTGATCATTCAGCCTATGACTGGTAACTCAATATTTCTATTAAAACTAGTTCAAATGCATTTAAATGTATCTAAAACACAAATGAATATGACAACGTACCTCTCCTGCAGTATCCGCGATCTCCAACTCTACTTCTTCATTGTCTGTTTCAACATGATGCCTGTAGGTTCCCTCTGAGAAAAGAACGACATCAATTATTGTCAATCAGTTGCTAATACGATTGCGACCTGCCGGCGATAATTCGATTTTGACGTAACTTCTTTACTCTAAGTAAGATAAAATCCAATGTCTTAGCTAGTTCCCAGCGTTTAGTTAGTGAGGCGGGGCGCGGAAATAGTAAACGGCGCAATAATAGCGGCAAAGAGACTGGTGCGAGTAAACAAGCCTTCTTACGAATAAGTATTCTAATCCGGCTATTCCCTTGTTTATATAAATTATCCACTTACCTATCGCTCGGGCATATTCTCCAATAAACCGCCTGGTCATAAACCTCACAATCAGGGCTAGAGGAAAAATCAGTTAAACTGGTTAGTGAATAATTGTATACATAAAGTTGTTGTATACAGAAAGTTGTCATTGAATACATTAAAAAAAATTCTTATACATTGCAAACATCCTACTTATAAAAAATGTAGTTTATTTGATTAAAAAAACAGTCTCTTCAGATTTAAACTAGTAACAATAATTTCCCATATCCGTGACTCGGCAGAGAGTTTAAGATCAGAATCACCGGAAGAGCATGCGTATGGAGGGAAAGGAGCTAAAATTTCAAGCGCTTGAAAATTGGGCGAATAATTTTTGTGGTGTGAAAGTAGCAGAGGAAAGATATTTTTTAAAGACCTCTCACACTTTTGATCGACAGATCGAAACAGAAAATAATTGAGTGAATGATTTTGTTGAAAACAGATTTATGCGCCTTGAGAAATAAATTAATTTATCTGTAGCCCGCAAAATAGTCTCTATAAACCTCTATAAAATAATACAAGCTTGTTTGAAGGCACATGAATATTGTGATGACTCAACGTTACGAGGCAACACTTCGAAGAACAATCGAGAAGCTGCGTTTGATAATGGAGGACTCAATTTAATCTACTCGACTTTGATCGAAAGAATCAATCATGTGTTGTGATTAAACAAAGACGATCATTTCTAAAGAGAGAGTGTGTCAAATGTCATTTGATAAAATAAGTTGACTGAACTTTTGTCCAACAGGAACTGAGAATGACAGATTTCTACAACGATCGAAAGATAAAACTCCATCTGCTTCGAAACACATTTTTTCAAACCACACAGACTCAATTTTGGCATTTAAACAACGCACAGTTTTTCCATGTATCTGACCTCAGTCTCAGCATCGAAATACTTGAGTGGTTTTGAAGCGACTTTTAATCTTTGCAAGGTTTTGTATGGAGGTATTGCACTAAAAGAAGTACTGTCAACTCTGAAAATCAAGTAGTTTGGATCTTCACTGCAAATCAATCACAACGGAACAAACACTTAGATACGGAGGTAATTAGCACTCTTGTTATCTCTTAACAATAGAACAGCTCCAAGGTGCAATAATAATTTATTGTGCTTACGAGATTTCATCATCGGTCTTAACTTACCCGATTTGCCAACTCCAGCCTTCCCGAGGATATAAGCTTTCGCTGGTTTAATGGATAACTGATTGGGTCTGCGTCTTCTCATGGTCTGGTCCTCGCCCGGCCAACAGTTCGCACAGGGTTAATAATTACAGCGGGCTCCTGAAAAGAACAGACAACAATGAATTCATAAGTGAATTAGAAATGACACGTCACTTAATTGTGTATAACGGAAAAATTTTCCTACATTTTTTATGGTTCTTCATTGGCAAACCACTTCGACTTTCTCATGTTTTACCCGTTCTCATTCCTCTTCGAGTTTTCTCGACTCTTACATTAACCCTTTCAAAAGTGATTAAAATGTAACTTCTCCCTATAATATCCATAGATTATTCAGCAAACAGGTAAAGAGAATACTCATCAGGTAGAAATTGTTACCTTGATCTGTTTGTTACCAAAATCTCGTACCTAATTTAAAAGAAACCGAAGAAACCAAAAAAATGTTCCGACTCTGCCAAAGAAAAATTCAAGTTCGTTGTATGTCGCAATTTCCTGAAGAAAACAAATTCAACGATACACCCCCGTCTTAACTGCTCTAATCTCATTTCTGGATAACAAAAAGGACGAATTTATCAAATCTAAGCTTCGCCGATTCAAGTTGGTTATAACTTACAAACATTCAAGGGTTTGATTTGAGAGAATTTTAAAAATTCGGACAGACATTGAATTATCGCATATTTTTGCTGGCTAGGAAAATTAGAGTTTTTTTTTATTAATTGCGGTTTTGATTATTTTGATTATAGCTTACACCATTTTCATCATCAATAAAATAACACGACACAAACTGATTCTATTTGAGTACAATCAATCTTATTTTCACTACTACTCAAGTAGTGTTCATTACTGCGAAGATTGCTTTCATATTCAAGTACAATCATTACTAATCATACTCTGGATGTGACAAATTTCATGAATGCCGTTATGGATTACTAAGTTCGACTACTTATTGAATCCATGTTAATACCTTCCAGAGATTTTCAATAAAAAAAATTCTCCATAATCACAAACACTTCTAAATGACAGCTACCATGGTTATGATTTCCAAGTCTTGTTAATCCACTCAGTTCTTTGAACGAAGTGAAAAAAATTTTGCAACCCCTAAAAAAAAATGAACTTGTTTTGGTGGGAATGAAAATCGTTTAAACAGACATTAACCCAGTGCCGCTCGCCATATAGACTGGCTAAAAGTTTATAACAATACACGTAACCGAGATTTAAGTATGATAAAAGACTTTGAGCCTTCCTTTGAGACACAAATGGATATTAAAAAGTTGTTGTTCACTGGAAACCCACAAATCTCTTCATTACCTTCCACGTAGTTGCCCGCGAAAACAGTGTCACGTATTATGTGAACGAAATTTAGGTATGATAAAAGACCGTTGAGTCTTCCTTTAAACATAAATGGATATTAGGAGGTTGTTGTTCACTGGAAACACACAAACTTCTTCATTACCTTCCTGAGAGTTGCCCGTGTAAACAGTGCCACATTCTTATGATTTGACCGTCTTTCAACGACGCCTCTAAGATTTGCAGAGCGCCTTATTTCAATGGTAAATCTCGCCAAATAATGCACGATCTGACCATGCAATACAAGATTTAAAGAATTATCTAATAGCCGAGGTGGATATAAAAATTTATATGCGAGTGATAAGAGATCGGTGCCTCTTGTGATTGGCTGCCTTTCAGTAAAGCGTCATATTTAAAGGACGTAGCATTTAGATAGCTGTAATCCCTTTAGCAGTGGCTAGTCACGTTTGAAAGTAATACATTATATAACTAGCCTTCCGGGAAAAAGGCACTTAACTCATCGTTTATCACAGAAAAAACACGCCCAATGTTAGAGGCTCGAATCACAATACTTGCACGTCCGTACTCATTTGAGTTTTATTAACGCATTACAAGGTGAAATTCCAAACACTGATCAAGGTAGGAATGGACACCAGAAAATTGCGATTTCATAACCTTTGAAATTTGATTCTCCAAATCGTCAACGCTGTTGTTCTGGTCCTAAACTTTCCAAGGTGGTATTCTTGGAAGAGGAGACTAATTAAATTCAAAGTATCAAAATTCTCCTTACAAAATCACCCCTGAATCACATATCAATGTCACGAGAATAAAGGAAATGATAAAAAACCAAATGAGCTCTTGATTGATAAACAAATTCTCCTTATCAGCATCTTAGGAAATGCATTGAGAACAGTTGGAGAATATGCATCCTGATGTTAGGAAGTAAAGGATTGATTTGATATTCGCCCCACGGAGGTTAAAAATTCTCAAAATGAAAACCATTTCCCAGGATGGAGAGGAATCAAGGGAAATCTTCTCACCACAACCGGATTTAACAGTAATGAAACATCCTGGATTTTCCCTAAGGACCCGGTGTAGGAAATTCCCCCTAGCCTCCCACATCCTTTTGAAAAAAATTTCTGCTCGCGCCCTTTCAGAAGAGTGGCTTTTTAAGGTGTTACATATCTGGCTCATGTTTCGAACCAGATGCTTTGTAAACCACATAATTATAGACCCGTGGCTGGAAACCACACAAACGACAACAACAAGTCCAAAATAGCTTCATGATAGGATTAGCAGGGTTATTTCAAGTACATTTTAAGTGGATTCGACCTTCTGTTTTACTTAACAAAGATGAAAGATAAACACCAGTTTGCCAGAGTATCATTGGCTTTGTCAAAGCGCTGTCGAAAAGTTGGCATATTTCGTCACTTGTGTTCGCCACAGGCGGAGGATTTCATTCAAGTAACTCTTGAAAGGTTATTTCAACCCCTATGAAGACTGAGAAAGCCTCATATGTTTGCAATCCATCAACTGTTTATTGGCACTGTGCAATTTGCTCAATCGTGTGTACAAACACACGAAGGCTGGTAATTCAATTGATCACACATCGCCAATTTTGCTTTGAGGTCTTGCGCACAAATCACTACACCGAATCTATGAAATAATTTTTTCTTCAGACTCCAAATTTTTTTAAGCTCTACGCTGATATGTACTTTACAAATCTTGAATTTCTTTTTTTTATATTTTTATTTTAGCAACTTGTTATGATATAAGTTTCATTTGAACTGTGGATGGAAACCAAGCAAAGAAATGATTCTTGTAGGGAGACTGCAAACAAAAAAACCAAGCGTAAAGAAAAATCTTATAGCTTTCGAGATCCATCTTTCAGGACTACTGTTACTTATACGCAGTAGATGTATTTTATCACAGATTATTCGCAGACATCAAGATTAAAGCAAACAGAAGTTTAAGAGGATAATTTGCAAACTCCGATTTTGAACCTGGGGTCGTATCCTCCAGAGATATAGAAGTCGTCTTAAAGAATCTTTACGAATTGTTCTATTTTTCCTAAACCATTTTGTTTGCTGAAAACAAATTGCTATTATGGAATTTACTTTTCTCCCGCAGAGAAAGTTTGTAATCATGTTATTATCCTTTGAAATCCTCTTAGAAATTTAAACATGAAGTGAAAATTAACCGTATTTTGTGGAATTATTTATTGAAATCGGGGATCTCAACTGTCGCTTCGGTAATTTTTACTGGGATTACCACACAACATGCTAGGCATGCCCGGAGGGGAAGGGAATTCTAAAAAAGTTGGTCAAGGAGGTATGCCTCTGAAGCATTCAAAAGTCCATCCAAAGGCCTATCCAAAGCTCTATACCAGACGTTTGGTTTAAGACGATTAAGAATGAAACTGTGTACTGTTGAAGATTCACAACCCTGAAATCGTACCCTCTTTGGTGATATCTGCGTGTTATGCGACATAATGTAGCGCCACACGGGACAGTATGTCGAGTGACGCTCCCCCACCCCTCCCCCCCCCCCGTCTCCCTAACCTGGGACATTTTGTTGAGTGACTGTACATTCTGATCTGTCAACTGGCTTCACATGTTGCGCTTCCTCAAATGAACTAAGCTATTCTCGAATGCTTGTAAAAACATTTTTCACTATTTTTAGCTTTCACATGCGCCTGATGAGAAATTGATCGACTGAGCCAAACGTGAATGCTGAACACGTTTTGGCACGGAAAAATCTACATATTTTTGTTGGGGAAATACGTTGTTTTATCAGAAAAGTGTATTTGTCTTTCAAGTTTCAAATGATTCTCATTACGCAATAGAGACTTCAACAATTTCTGACTTATATCAAAAGCATCATTCTAGGTAAATTTTAAATGGTCATAGAAAAATAAATTGTGACAGGTTATAATCTGAAAAACGTGAGCTTAGCCGCGAACGTGAATGAGAGAAGCCTCGTTCTCAAAATCTAGTAGACTTGACAACATTGAGATCAAAATTGAATCAGATAATTCCCTTAAATAAATGGATCCTCGCCGTAAAGGTGTATAAACAAACTTTGAAGGAAAGGACATATTTGATCTCCAGATATCAGAACTTCGACACGTGAGTTAAATCGAAATTGGCACGTTTTCAGTGTGATTCACGAGCGCGCGCCCCAGGTGAATTTCTTAGCTCTGATGAATGATGAGACCGCTAAATACTTTCTCAGTGTAAACAGTTTGCGATAAAGCCCTCGAAACCACTAAGAAGGTCTTGTAGACTGAAGCAGAACTCTTGTGAAAGATAAATGCATTGATATTCTACAACACATCTTCGGATGCAATAAATCTATGAATCGGAGGCTTGAACTCAATAGCGTTTTGCGAAAGAAGCATATAAAACTCCGTTATTGAACTTTTGTTAATTATCGTTCTTAACTCAACCAGAATCGCGTCGAATCGTGTCGTTTGAAGCCGGTGAATCTGTGTAATTGTAACCGCACGAAACTCTGACCATGAGCGGTTGTTGACTGCATCAGTCCGACAATAATTTCCTTACACAATTAAACGCACAAACCGCAAAAGTCATTATCACGTCTGACCTGAAACACCTGAACACTACTGTATGGATACACTACACTACCTTGTTTATAACCTTGATCTTTGGAAAAATAATCACTCCTCTTTCCTCCCGGTGTTCCAAGCAAATTCAACGCAGCAAACTCCTTTCTTCCACAGCAGGTGTTTGGCAAAGGATATGTATGGAATTCTGAAAGATTATTTCGTAAATGTATTTCTGCTGATAAACCTGATGGTTGGATAACTTTGGCAACGGAATTCTGTATCACCGAAGACAGTTCTCTCTGGATTACTTGATGAGACACATCGCCTCTTTATACATGTTTTTCACTCGATGCAAACGGTATTCAAGAAATTTACCACCCCGCAAAAAATTCTAGGCGAGACTTTGAAATCAATACTCCTCTTACGAGGCAATGTAAAACATTTTGTGCCCCGCGTCTGTTGGAAAAAACAACCTTGTTTTTTTCCTTGAAACAATCGCATATTTAACCTTAAAAGAGCATATCATTATGTATAAAAAAACCTCTCTCACTGTATTTCCATTGTGACGTTTCTCTTTCACTGCCACTGGCTGAAATAAGTTGATTTCAACCGACATCTGACGCAAGGGATTACGTATATGTAAAACTCATTACCAATATTTCGAGTGGGTGCTTATTTTGATAAACCAGACTCGTCGTGATTCCCATTATTTTTTAATCAAAACCACTTTAGGATGATAGAATAAGCAACTGGCTTGTTTCGTAGCCAAACGCACATACCTTTCGATGGTGGGTACTCGGCTGATACTTAATAGGTGAAAACACTTCAATTTCCTGTCATAAATTCGCTTGTCAAAACATGACAACTCTTTTTCTCGACCTACAGTGGTGCTGTTACGAATGCAACGTAAAATCCATCAAAATTTTGCCTCAAGGAGACTGTCTTTGACACATGTGCCTCTCTAGGTTATCGTTTCATATGCAAGTTGTTCAGCAGTGGCTTGCTGGGTGCTAAGGTCATCTTGCACTTCTATACTCCTTTGTGATTTTTTTGGCGTCAGTTTTCGAGTCCTTTTACATTTTTTTTTAATCAGCGTTTAACGTTTCTTTCCCATGTAATCCGATTTCCCCTTTTTATGCTGTTTTTTCTTTTACATACTACAGTGAGAAAAACACTTTTCATGACCTCCAAAGATTATCTCTCTGATTTCCATGTATCTTATATTTTAACCTCGGGCGATTGTAAGTTTGCTAATAGTTCAAATTCTTATTAGCTTCTAGATCTGTCAATCTGGTTTAGATGGACATAAATACTCTTACAAACTCATGATTGAAACTTCATAAAGTAGCGCCATGGGTTCAGAACGTTCAGACATAAGAGAGCATCGGGAAGAGAGGGGAAGGCAAGTCTACAATAATTCCGAGGGTGGTTCGACACATAACACTCGAACCCATGAATCTGTTTCAAACCACAACAAAAATTGTTGACTCCCACCCCTCTTGAGGCCTGAACAAAATCCAGCAAAAAAACCTAACCAAAAAGGTAACTACAGAACTTGATTTCAATTTCGGACCGTACAAACTTATCCCACCTCCCCGTCTCACTCTGCCCTCCTTTCCCCAGAAAGAGCATCTTATAACTGATATTTGGCACACTGACAGAGTAAACATTAAAAAAAAAGCCACCGTGTTGAAATCATTTTAGTGAGTTTCAATTTTCAGCGACTGCCATTTCAGGATAACAGTTCAAGGTGAAGATTTAAAAGTCAAGCTATTGGCCGCAGATAATTGACCAGGACCCAGCGCAAATCAGAGATGAGAAACAATTGAATCAGCCCCGAAGGCTCTGGAGTTCTTAATTGAAGAGAGCAATACTTACGTAATTGCGAAATGTTTTCAAGCTCAGAAAATATTGGTAGACAAAAACGCACCCACCTGTATGTAGAGAACACATTAATGAGCCGCAAGGACTGATTACGACTTGCCTGTCACAATGAACATTAACAGGTTTCCCGCATCTCGTAAAAACTTCCTCATTCGTGGCATCTGCAAACTTAAGTTATTTGTACTTCTATGGGCAACAGACGTGAACGAAATGACCTCCACCTATCCACGTTCCTAAGCCAGCTTCTCTTCATTCCTCCTCGCGAAACTCGATCTTTTTAATGACATGACTTGTCTTCTACCCACGCCAGCTCCAAAGATCGACAACCAGATGACCGGACTGTTCGAACACAACACTTTTTGTTGTTTCACGTGGAAGTCTAACCTGGATCGCAATGTGATACACAGCGGAATTGATGTCTAAAAACACCATAGTGCGTTCAATCACTCGTTCTAGAACACCTCAGTTAAACTGGCATGTAGCCGCGCGTCTCTCTAAGAAGCGTGCGGGACTAAACGTGGAAAGAGGTTAAAACTTGTAACAGATGGACATTCTTTTCATTTTAGTGCTGAATATTGGTTACAAGCTACACCGTTGTGGATTATCTGCATACAAGTAACGGGTACTCACGATTGTTTATCCTCGCGGCAGGAAATGTTGATAAAGTGTACTCAACCTTCCTTAGTAAGAATGAAAACATGAAATATTCGTGATGTTAGCCTACTAAGTTAAATTAAAAGTAAGCGATGACAGACCGGAAGTGATCCGATCAAAGAAAGCGATTGTAAAAGGGCAAGGCTTTCTCTTCCCGACGGTATCATTACTTTTCATTACTCTTGAAGAAGGGGGGGAGGGGGAAGGGTTCCAAGCATGTACCCTTTTCAAAATAAACGTTTGGTCACCGTCAATGCATCCCTCTTAAACACCTAACATCAAACTCACAGCCGCTACGAATTTCTCCGTACAACATCAATACAATATCATGTGATAGATGTCACCCTCGGGTTCAAGCCATTTACTGTATTACAATATCAAATGGACAAGTTATGAGAATAAAGAAAAATATCAATCAAGGGATTATTAGTTGATCCAAAACCAAATTCTAACATCATAAGAATTGTATAACAGAAAATAAGGAGAACTACTGATGAGATCTTGCTAATGAAAGAGTTATGTGCCAACAGTAAAACACGATATCCGACTGAAACATCATTTTACAATATAGGTAAGCAAAGGTGGCGCTCTGGCTAAAATAGACGTCCTCTTTTATCAAACTCTTAAATTGATCTTTAAACACTTCTAAGCACCATCTTATTTACATAAGATCTTAATATTTTTACCATTTTATAAACCTTTATTAAGAAAAATCCTGTATGGTCCCGTCATGCCTCACCCTCCCCCCCTCCCCCCCCCCCAAACGCCTCCAGTGTGCTCGAATCCCAAAGATTAAACCATCCGATAGCGTGAATGACGCAAATGTCCTTGCCACGTACGTGCCAAAATGCTTCCTTCTTACCATATCCTTACTGTGCAAGATGGGTCAACCAACATTTCAAGCTGTTAGCTTATCACGTCGTTCAGGGCATGTGGCAATCTTCAATCTGCTCGGCACGTTCCAAATCTTTGTTCTGGTATCCACATGTTCCAAAGAAGAACTCTATTGAAGATAGCAACGAAAAAGAACAAAGTTCCAGCTAACCCGATCTCAGTCCCCATAGGACAGAGAATGTCGAGCGGAGCGCGGAATCTGTTGTAGCCTGTGTCTAACAGCTTCTCCGAGTATTTAACTCGTTTGTGATAGCTGTTTGTTTGTTTGTTTCTCTATTTTGCGAGAGGGAATGGAGACTAGCTAAGACATCTTTGGAAAAAGATCTTTTCAGCTATACCTTTCTTCTTTTTTCCTAGATATTCTACACATAAACCCTTTATGATCAGTTATTAAATGTTTAATTCACTGGTGGATGATTATCCAAGAGTGTTGGTACAGTTACTGTCAGGCAGGGATGGTCAGTTAAGCTTGCGAGCAGGCCTCGTAATTTTTACTGCAGGACGTATGTTTCTCCGCTTACAGGAAGATTTGAGACGAGTTGGGAAACAAGACAAAGTGTTTTCCAGCACTCCAGACATTTCATTTGTTTTCATTGGCTCTTAAACGTATTTTCCTTTCTCCTGATTGGCCTCGTGATTACTTTGGTAAGACATTCATCGAAAAGTGCCCTTTATATCAAACAAATTTAATCACTGCATGACGTCAATACGGGCTCTAACATAATGAACACAACAAACAATCGAACAGTATTCAATAGTTGAACTAAGAACAACCTAAAGCTCCCTTTTCACATTCCTTTGTCATTGAAATTATGGCACATAAAGCTAGGCTGTCTATAAACGCAAATTGATTTGATGTTTGCTGCGAACATCTGTGACTTTGCATGAAAATTTCTACTGCGAACTTACATTTTTATAATTGGTATTGGACATAATCGATTCAATCGATGTTTCGTATTGAAATCTGCAGATAACTGTGAAGTAAATGCTTGGAAAGGTTTTTTTGGGGCAAATATCTTTCATGGTGATCAACTTCACATCATGGCGAATTATGACTATAACAAAGGCTATCGCTGGTTCCGTTTTGAAAAAGATTCGGCCATCGATTCTTCTTTACCGCCGTTAAGCAGCTATCGTAATGCGAGAGAAGTAAACTCTATTCTATGGATGTCCAACGCTGAACATGTTGCGAACAACGAAAGAGGACATGTCCACAGCGACTCCAGTGTCATCAGCAGAACCCATGAACCTCCTTCGCTTCACCTGCCCATTCTTCTGACAGGTTATGAATCGAACACATCACAAACAGCGCCTACTCTTAGACTACAAAAAGCTGCTGATATTGAAGATGGTTGTACAGTGTACAGTCACAGAAATACTTTGGCACTGCCTGTACCAACCCCAACTGTGTTAATGGGATCGGAAGCAAGCGCTGTCAGTCACCATACTTCTGTGAGCAAACGGACACCGGTTATTCGAGCACATAAAGCACGGAGCAAACGTACATCAGCACGAAAATCAAGATTTCAACCGAATCTTGGAACTCAATCAGATCTTCAGGATTGTCTATTTATTCAGAACGGTATTCAGTGTTTTCCAGCGGGCGGTAAGGGATTTTTGTCGCCGCAGAAAGAAAAAGACATCAACGATTGGATAAATGGATCAAAAGCTAGCAAGGAGTAGATTAAATTCCCAACAGTACCAAGAGGAATAGACTCCCCAAAAAACAAAACCTCTCTTACGATGGAAAATAAAGTTCATTTCCTCGAGTTGAAGAATTGTTACGATTTTACCCGAGAACTGACGAGATCGCTGTTCTCAATATTTAACTATCGTAATACGTTTTTTTCAAAGCGTAAAAGTTTTTCAGTACAGCTCAAAACAAAACGATAAATCAACAGAATACCTTTAACTAAATAAGCTTTGTGTTCGAAAAGTCCTAAGTTTTTCTTTTCCCTCTGTTTCTTTAACTCACTTGATTGACCAAAACAGAATTTCTCCTGACAATTTCAATATCGTATCAAGCAAACAAGTGATGAGAATAGAGAAAAATATCAGTGAGGGGATTATCAGTTGATCCAATACCAAATTCTCCGAACTAACACCATAAGAATTGTAAGCCAGACAGTAAGGAGAATTACTACTGTTTCATGCTACATAGTTTGGATAGTTAAACTACCATCAAAATTGACTTAGAAATTTTTGATATCTAATCCTTTCTGGGATCCCTCAAGGATTCTTCCATCCCTCACACTTGTAACTATTTCCCTCTTACTCTCATGATCTCGATATAAATTCTCACAAGTATGTGCCATACATTCCTTACAATTTTGGTTATGAGAATTTCAACAAAATCTGAGTTATCTTTCAGGCAATATTTCTCTTTCTTCTTCCCAATTTTCTGCTTAACCCTTTAACTCCCAGATCAAATTTGTCATTCTCCTTACTATCAACCATACAATTCTTATAATGTTAGTACAGAGAATTTAGTATTGGATCAACTACTTATCCCCAAATTGATATTTTCCTTTATTCTCATCACTTATCTGGTTAATATTGTATCGATATTGTAAGGAGAAATTCTGTCTTGGTCACTGACAGGAGTTAAAGGGTTAACTTTTTGACCCCTAAGAGTAGGATCTAAGTTTTTTTTGCAATCTTACCCCTGAATCACAAATTATGATCACAAAAGTAAAGGAAATGATCACCAACTAAAGAAGCTCTTGATTGTTAAACAATTTCTCCTTATGAACACCTTAAGAAATGTATAGAGAACAGTATGGAGAATATGCATGCCGATGTTAGGGTGTAAAGAGTTAAAAATGTATTCATAACATGAGCAGAAATCACTTATCAGTCACCCCTGAGCTAGCCTCTACCAGGTACTCTTTCTGTGGGTGTGAGCTAAGGAGTAGACAAGCTACAAACAGCAGTTGTGGTTGTCAGCAAAACACTATCAATTTTATGTCTGCTCACTTTCTTGCTAAATTCCTCTTTTTCTGAGAGCATAGTGCAATTACTCCTGGGAGTGGAATGGTTTTTCCTTATTGATTTAATCAGACTTGGAAAATAGTTTTTCTTCTGAAAATTATATCCAGTGTTATTCCCTCCAGCGATGACCACATTTGCAACATTTGTAGAATGTGGTCATGGGTTCATCTGCTGACCGAGTCTGAATCTGCATGAAGTAGGCTCTGTCATGTTCACACTTGGGGCAGCGCTCTGTTTTAAATTTAAAAAAAATACATTTAATGGTTGGTATGGCTCAAAAAGTCCCTGATCTAGCCCAGGTAAGATCACTGTGAGGTGCTCTTGGACAAGACATGTTACTCACGGCTACCAGGAACAGTCCTCTGAAGGACTACTCATATGCAGAAAATCAGAACACATGATCAAGAACTTCAAACAAAATAATGGAAGGTATTTACCTTCTGTTGAGTCCACATTTTCCCAGGCTTCCTTTCCACCTAATACATCATCAACCTCTTTCAATTTTGGATATTTTTTACTTGATATCTGTCAGAGAATAGTGAGAAGTAATAATTATTTAGAACATGGTTTAACCCTTAACTCCCAGACCAAATTTGTAATTCTCCTTACTGTCAACCATACAATTCTTATGATGTTAGTTCAGAGAATTAGTATTTGATCAACTTATTATCCCCAAATTGATATTTTTCTTTATTCTCATCACTTTTCTGGTTGATATTGTAAGGAGAAATTCTGTCTTGGTCACTCATGGGAGTCAAAGGGTTAACATACTCAGGGATCCTTAATAAGTAATCTTAGTGAATAGCTTATATCTAAAGTAGCTGTCTGGAAGTAGAGAGCAGAGCTCTCAAGTTGGTTTGCATGGTTCCCTCCAAAAAATTGAGAAATAATGAAGAAGTCATGACGTGCATTCCTTTATTCTGAACATGTGTGGAGAGATTCCATGTTACTGGTCTGTGGTTTGCATATGAGTATGTACTGTTTCGCTGAACATTCATTTTATTATAATCACTGGTTAATTTTAATGAGCGCACTGTTTATGTTTATTGTTGTGGATACACTCGGTTTAAAAAAATATATCTCAATAATGATCACGATGCTTGTTATGTAAAACATTTAATTGATGATGCATAATCTAGTTGTTCAGTTCAGTTTCAATCAAGCTAACCAGAGTTAAATGCTCAACCCAAAAGTCTTGAGAGCTCTGAAAGGCTTGCCAAGGGGCAGTTCAGACAATTAGCAGGCCACAAAATACATATCTGCTATGTCTTTGGAAATGATATGGATGGTTTTTCATGGGATGTATGGTGTAAAATAAACTCTCTTTTTTTTGTAAAAAACAACAACAACAACAACAACAACAACAAAATCAAAGTAGACAAAAAAAATTCAGCAAACAGTTTTGTTTTGAAAGCGAAATTAATATTTGCACACCACATTTGCTACGAAGGTCAAAATGCACCCAGTTGAGAGGATTGAAAATTGAAGTTTTGAAATTAACGCAGGACAGTAAACGAGCCAATTAACCTGTTATTTCTCCAAGTTCAATAAAACAGAAAAAAATAATCAAACTTCCTTGAGGGGTGTAAATGCGCATGTAGGTAGGAATAGTTTTACCAATGAGTATGTCAGAAAGATAACAACGAATACGTCACCTTTTTTGTGATGTTGTAAACATAAGGACACGTTTGACAAGCAAACCTATACGAGGATGGCCCAGTTCCTTCCTCTACAGTCAAAACATTCGAACAAGTTGGGCAAAATAAAAGCATTTTGCATCCTTTTTCAAGTCATTAGTGAGTTTTGAGTATGTACGCTATGTACCCAACACCAAAAGTCAATTTGAGAGACAACCGCTGACCAAATCGTTGCTTTGTCGCGACTTTATGTTCTTTTTCACGTTTCATTTTACATTTGTAAAGAAATAAGAGTCAGTCGCTGCATTTTTGAAATTATCCTGGAAACAAATTTTTTCGGAATGCCTCGTTTGCAGACCTCTTATCTAAGAAATATGAAACGATTCGAAATCTTGTTTCTGCTGAAGTCATACTAAGTTTAGTTTTTTTAGGGAAAAAAGAAAGTTTCCTGAACCCACACATTGTGATAGGTCTGCCATGTGAATTCACTCTCAAGAAAAAAATTTTCCCTTCTTTTTCGAAAATCTTATTGATCGTTAACTTTCGTGTCATTGTATCAAAACCAAAGTACTGTACTCACAACAGCCATTCACGAAGGGACGAAAATATATTTTGTATCTCAATGAGCAAATAAGAAACTTATGCCCCATTCACACCAAAGCTTAAACATGTTTAAAAGTTGTTTTGTTAAACACAGTTTAATTTTTTTTTTTCTTCATAGAAACTATTTAGCCGAATATTTTTTACTTGAATGCAGCACATTGGAAATGCAAGTTAGCAAGTACTTGAATCCAATGGAAAATCAAGTTTTTCAGTTCTCTGTTTATAATTTTCATTCAATGAAAACCAGTTTAACAAAACATGTTTTGCTGGTGTGAATGGGGTATTAGATAAAAACAAGCGTCTCTTAGAAGCTCAGCATAACGCAAGTTTCAGTCCAAAATCCAAAATCGAACAGGAGTGCCCAAAACCCAAAATCGGTGTCCGAAATCCAAAATCGGACACCGGAGTCTAAAATCCAAAACCACACCCTAGCCCTAGTGTCCAAATCCAATATAGAACACTAGTGTCCAAACGTCAAAATCGGAGATTAGTGCCCAAAATACTAAATTGGACACTTGTGTCTAAGATCCCAAATCGGACACTAGTGTATAAAATGCAAAATCGGACATTGGTATCTAAAATCGGACACTTGTGTCCAAACTCCAAACACGAACTCCATTATCCTGCAAAATTCAAAGTCTGAGTAGACTCTGTGGAACGGAATATTTCACTCCAAACATACTTCTGCAAACCTCAAAAGTAAAAGAAAACTTAGTTAAGATGAAAATCAGTTTTGCAATAACGTCTAAATAACGTTTTATTAAAGCGTCTGTTTATTGATTTGAAGCATACAATAACTTAACACTCCACATCACCGGAAAGGGGATCTCTACGATTCCGCACAGTTCCAAGATCTGATTTTCTATTTTTTTTCCCTCACTCCGTGGAAAGGACAACTTTGTCGAGGGAAAATATTGTTTTGATTTCATCTAAAGACAGAGATAAAGCTATAAGCCTGATCAGGGCTCCTAGCCTAATAGTTAATTTTTTTCAGGAAAATTGAAAAAGAGATTTGAATTCGCTTCAATATGGCCTATATAAGCTAATAAGCTTGCCGCCGTTTTTTTTTTTAATTATTTGGCGAAAATATTTCTGAGTAAAAAGAAAATTTATTTCACAATCACTATTTGTTATTATTATTTTTGACTGTCCAGAGAGCGTTGGCGTTGATTTTTTAAGACTGCATTAAGTGACACATAAAGGACGTTTTCATCTCTCGTGTAATAAATATCACATTGTTTAGAGACAGAATAAGAAAACAGAAGAACTTTGTGAAAACAGACAAGGTTAAACATGTTAAAGTGTCAAAACCGAGAAAGCTCTGAACAGTAAATTTACTTTCTGCAAACCTTTATCGCACTTAACTGTCGACGTATAAGGAATTTACTGTAATTAGGTGATTCATTTTTATTAGCTTGGATACTGAAAATCGTTTTGTTGTAGTTATTCCTCGAATTCAAAGTGATAAGTGAAAAATTGTAGTTATAATCTGTTAGTAATTTGAGATGTCAGCGGAAGTACTTAGCGGGACATATTTGAAGAATAATACAAAGGGCTTGTTCACTCAACACGTTCAAGTCTGGGCTAATTATCATTAGAAAGACTTCTTTGCAAAGTCCATTGAATTCGTAATTATCTTCGTTCATTCGAGGTACGCAGAGTAAATTCGAGTTAATGGTGAGAGATAATGGGAAATTTTACGCTGGCCTTACACCGGAAACACAATTTGTCGTGCGTGCCGTTCAGGAAAACATGATATGATATAGAGGTCGTATTAAGCCAATTTTTTAGATCGCATCTTGAAGACCAGAGGAGATTGTATTTCTCCGAGCACTGGGGAATTCAAATAAGTAAACATTGAATCGTGGCGAGTTAAAAAGGTTTCCTTATCGTCTGTTCGACTTTAAGTTTGTGTGTTATAAGGAGCACAACATTCGATGATTTTCGTTTATTTATCAACAACATATCTACGCACAAAACTGCTTCAAGGACCTCAAGGTTAGTCGTTTTAACTAATCAGCTTATATCTTTTGTTACTAAAGGTGTATTTACACAACTTCCAAACATCTAATTGCCCTTTTCGACTTTAGTGAACGGTAGCCAACGAGGTCCGCTTGATTCAGATTGAAAGGCCTTTTTTGAAGCTGTTACGGCGACAATTCTCATGTGTTTCCGGCCGTAACGCAACACAAAAGAACAGTTTATTTTGATGCTGTGTTTCTGAGCTATTTATAGTGTAAATCGCACAAATGATACCTATTCGAAAGTCGTTAAATTTCTGAAATATCCGAAGATCGACTCCAGCAGAGCTTTCCGTCTGTTCCATTCAGATTGTTTGTCTAAGAAACATCCTAGGAGGAAACTGAAGGAAAGCACTTTGTAGCTATTCAAATAACAACCTCCTTCTAACAACAGAAAAATACCAGACAAAGCAGGTTTCAGCTGAAACGACACATGTTGAAATGTGATGTGATGTTAGATTTTGAGCAATGCGAACGGTTTGCAGAAGAAGTGAGCGAATTATCGTCTACGAAATCAAGTTAGTGGCATTTCAAAGTTGTTTATAATTTTCTACCAGAGTAATGTATTTCTTTCACAAAAATAATTGCATTTTTTGATTTGTGTATTGAAAATGATAAGCGTACCAATATTTGCTTTTCAATGAAACGTTTGCAGTTACTGTATATGAGTATATTTGCCATAATTGCCTCTCTGAAAGCTATCCGGTCTTTGCTCGCAAGCTTATGCAATAGTTTTTCATTCCTAAAGTAGAACTTGTCACACCGCCGAATGAATTCTCCCTAGTCTGTTCCAAGGACCGATTTTAAGAAAGTCTTTGTAATTATCGTTCCTGCAACTTGTCTTTTGAATTGATCGGCGTGTTTGCATCCAAGATGGAAGTATTGATAGTTTTGTAAATTAAAATACATTAGCATCAGGAAGCAAAAGGGACGAAAGAGAATGGATACGTTTGTGAGTTGAGTTCCGCTCTATTAATTGCGAGATTTAAATTTTAAAACATGACGCTTGGTTGTCTTTGGACTCGTCAAGCTGCCGAGATTTATCATGAAGAGGGTCCTAGGCGTTCAGTGTGTAACATGGGCGCGCAAACGCATTTCTACCACTAAAAGGGCATAGGAAAGTGGCGGAACCTCAAGTGCAGAAAAGGAGCCGCGCGAAGCGACTTCAAGCACCTGTTTTCTCGCGCGATCTTTATGGACATCAATGTTGTTCCAACGCCTCCGTTCCTGAAGCAGAAGCGTAGCCAGGTTGTTAAAGGGAGGGGAGACTTAATGAATGCACCCTTTAAAAACGCAAAAGACTAATGTCTTTCGTGCGCGCAAATCCGAAGACTCTACATGTCATATGTGTCAGTGCTAGATACTCGATTTGTCGGTGTCCGACAAATAGATGATATGTGTAGAGACACTTGAAGGTGGAAAGACGCCAAAGTACACTACATTTCTGGCATTAAGAATTAAACCGTGCAATATTTTGCGAGCAAAAGTACGATTTTTAAAAATTCTCTCGTTGCCCTTCGTATCTTCCCTCTGAACAAGTAGGTGGGTAGATATCGCACTTACCGACTGCTAAATTGAATTGTTCAACAAGTTATCATGCTGTGGTAATTTCAATTCTAATTTCACCTTTTTACAATTGCAGATATTTGTTGTCATACCTGACAAAAGAACTTCACACCACGAGAAGACTAACTGTTCTTACAAAGCTTAAAGGCTTCAATGTTGCTTGTTAAAGAATCTTTAGTACTTCCTCGATTCATCCTATCACTCGCTTTATTCACCGTTGTATACACCACGAATACTTATGAACCAGATAATTCTCATGAGTTCGGTGCTCTCTCCAGCCCGACTCCGACAAAGGAGGGCCCTTCAGCATCACAAGTGGCGAGAATTGAGGGCGACGTTTTCCTGGGAGGACTTTTCCCAGTTCACGCCAAAGGCAACGGATCATCTTTGTGCGGCGAACTAAATGAACAGGTCGGAATTCACCGTGTGGAGGCCATGTTGTATGCAATGGATCAGGTAAATTTCTATTTTCATTTAAATGTTTATTAAAAGTTGCCTTGGTGTTGTACTTGCGCGTTCAGCGAATGTGAATATTTTTTGTGGTGTATCAGTCAAACTTGGATCCCAGCTATCTGCCACTTTCACGACAATTAATTCGTACTATTTCGAATTGATAAAATAAAATGTAAGGACCGAGATCTCGATAATTTACACATATCGTGTCCCTGAAATTTGGGTAATCAAGGATCTATATTTAGCTCCGTTCACTGGATGTCGCAAAAAATTTAAATCCATCGATTGTTGTGTCGAAAGTCTTCTCCAAGACAGCAGTTTTTTTTTACACGTAGTGCTTACAGGAATGTTAATCTGGTTCTGGGTTGTAGTAAGATGGAAAGAAAAAGTCTTGAGCGAGCACGGGACGTTTTTAAGCTAAATAAGTATTCGATCTTATTATGCAATCATTCGGACAATCATATTGTACATTTCACTGTTATTCCTATTCCTGTCTTTAAATCATTGACTG